AAACCCAGCAATTGGGCTGTTTTGACCCAGCGGTTGGGTTACTACCCAGAAGGTTGGGTAAAACATTTAACCCAACCGCTGGGTCAAAACAGCCCAATTGCTGGGTTTGTCCCTATTTTACCCAGCACTGGATTCTATTTAACCCAGCATTTTTTAGAGTGCAGACAGAATGAACAAACAAACAAACAAATGAACGACAGACAGAACAAATGAACGAATGAACGATCGATCAATCAATCGATAGATATAGATAGAACACTAGACAGATATATAAACAAATAGACAAAACGATAGATAGATCGACAGACAGAATTATATATGAATGAATAGATAGACTGTTTGATGGATGGGAGGATGGATAAATTTAAATTCAACTTCAACAGTTGAGGTCCAATCGCTCTCTGTCCTCTGACTGCACGTGTTTCTCTTCCTCCACACGCATCATATTTACACTTCCATTTCTGTTCTGGTGTTTTTTGCTTTGAAAATCATTTTGTTTACTCTTCTCTCGTCTAAGAGCATGAAGCCTCGACTCCGCCAGCGTTCATGAAGCTCGACACTCTGCCGGTGTTCTCTCACATCAAGGCTCGCTCTCGTAGTCGTCTCTCTCTCAGGCACAGACCGTCTCTGATTAATGACTCTCTCAAAGCAGCAAACTAGAGTGAAGTTCAAGCAAGTACTTATCAAACCTCACGCCACGCGTTTGATCTGCACACAGAAGCGCGTCTCGTTCAATGGTGACATTCCAATGCCCAACAACGTCTTCAAAGCGCTCCATTAGAACAGACAATGCCGGTGCTCTGCGTTGAGTTGAAAGATAATGTAAATGTCAACTACATCTTTATCTATTATATGCTGAATGATGTGAGCTTTTACCTTTCATTGTGCTCGCAGACGCACTAAACTCAGACAAACTGAAGCCAGATGTATCGATTCTCTGCTTAAACCGTTTTCTTCTTATCGCCCGACGTGCCTGACTTACCGTGTCCTCATGTAGCCTGTGGCTACGTCTCAATCCACACACTAGTTCAGCAGTAAGCACACTACCCAGGGAATCAGACATTTCCAGGTCCTGGAATGATTGCTCACTAGACAACATTCCCTGCTTCAGGTCGATGAATGATCACCAGTGTTTAGTAAACATGATCCTTACTAGTAGTGACGGGAGAAATGAAGCAAACAAAACTTTGAATCAATTGAACCAATTGCTTCACAAAATGATTCACTGTTTCAAAGTACTTGAAATGCCCCATGATGGTCAGAACAATGTAAATGCAACAAAAATGCCGTAACGCGTAAAAAGTGTAATCTATTAAATGAAATTAACACATTCTTTATTTGCAGGACTTGATTTCACAGTTCACAGAGATTAATGCCTCCTTGTGGCGACTGAAATTTCGAAACAGTTCTGATTTAATGAAGCCTTGTTTTGCTGAAATTTGCTGAAATTGCTGTTTGCTGGCAGTTTGATACAGGCTCTGAATAACTTGTTTGACAAATGATTCACAAAGGTTTGAAAGCTTCATGAAACAAGCGCTGAACATCTTGAAAATCATCAAATCAGACCGGCCTAACCACCTCAGACTGGTTTAAGCCTGATAGATGGGTGGATGGATGTTAGATGGATAGGTGGATGGATGGTAGATGGATGGACGGATAGATAGATAGATAGATAGATAGATAGATGATGGATGGATGGATGGATGGATGGATAGATCGATAGGTGGATAGATGGATGGATGGATGGATGGATGGATGGATAATAGATCGATAGGTGGATGGATGATAGGATAGATGGATGGATGGATGATGGATTATAGATCGATAGGTGCATGGATGGGTGGATGGATGTTAGATGGATAGGTGAATAGACGGATGGATGAATAGATGGATAATAGATGGATAGGTGGATTGATGAATGGATATAAAATAGATGGATGATTGGATAATGGATGGATGGATGGATAATAGGTGGATAGATGGGTAGATGGACGGATGGTAGATGGATAGGTGGATAGACAAATGGACGGATGGATGGACGGATGGACGGACGGACAGATGGATGAATGGATGGATGGATGGATGGATGGATGGATAATAGATCGATAGGTGGATGGATGATAGAAAGATAGATGATGGATGGATGGATGGATGATAGATAGATAGATAGAAGAAAGGATAGATAGATAAAGACAGGCAGACAGACAGGATAGACAGATAGATAGATAAAGACAGACAGACAGGATAGATAGACAGATAAAGACAGACAGACAGGATAGATAGATAGATAGATAGACAGATAGTGCCAGACAAGATAGATAGATACAGACAGACAGACAGGATAGATAGATAGATAGAGCCAGACAGGATAGACAGACAGACAGACAGACAGATACAGACAGATACAGACAGGATAGATAGATAGATAGATAGATAGACAGACAGATAGATGGATGGATGGATGGATGATAGAAGGATAGATGGATGGATGGATGATAGAAGGATAGATGGATGGATGGATGGATGGATGGATAGATAGATAATGGATGGATGGATAATAGATCGATAGGTGGATGGATGATAGAAAGATAGATTGGATGGATGATGGATTATAGATCGATAGGTGCATGGATGGGTGGATGGATGTTAGATGGATAGGTGAATAGACGGATGGATGAATAGATGGATAATAGATGGATAGGTGGATTGATGAATGGATATAAAATAGATGGATGATTGGATAATGGATGGATGGATGGATAATAGGTGGATAGATGGGTAGATGGACGGATGGTAGATGGATAGGTGGATAGACAAATGGACGGATGGATGGACGGATGGACGGACGGACAGATGGATGAATGGATGGATGGATGGATGGATGGATGGATAATAGATCGATAGGTGGTTGGATGATA